AAAGTACAAAATAGGGCTGGGATGTGGCTCAGTGGGCGAGTGGCCCTGAGCTCAATCCCTGGTACCACCCCCCCCCAAAAAAGTGGCTTAGACACAATGGAATTTATGTTCCACTAAGAGTCTCCACCTAAACAACCTGGTCTCCGGATGGAAAGTCTTCCCCAGCACGTGGGGACGGGGTGGCCCCAGAGGGCAGCAGATCAGCTCTGCTTTCCACCGACAGCGCACCCCAGGGGCTGGGCTTTCCCCCGGGGTGGGCCTAATGCCACAGGCCTCCCCACCTGCCTCAGGGGTGCATGTGCCCATTTCGGGGGGAAGGAGAGGCTTGTCTGAGACGGGAGAGCCTATCTGCTCGGCCAACCTGCTAAGCACCACAGAGCAGCAGGCTCCAGATGGACGTGGACATGTCCAGGGGTCAGGCAAGCGGGTGAGAAGGACGGGCTGATGGCATCTCCGCACATCAACGGAGCTCACTGACGCGGCTGGGCCTGGAGCAAGGCAAGCCCAAGAAAGGCCAGTGGTCAAGACGGTGGACACATGGCCAATGCCATCCCTCTGGACCTGGCGCACAGTAGGTATTCGGGGACTGGTAGTGGAATCCAGGCACATCCCCTGAGTCTAAAATAAGGCTTTGGACCCTGGAGAACCCCAGCTCTGCCCCATGCATGCTGTGTGACCTCCGAGGAATAGAACAACATCTCTGATTGTTGGTCTCCTAACCTGTCCAATTTGTTCATTCATCCATTCAACAGTTATGTATCGACCACCTACTAAGTATTAAGCTGTGTGCTAGGCACCAAGGATTCATCCCTAAACAACAACGAAATCCCTACCGTCAGAGCGGTCACCGGTGGAAAGAAAGTGAGTAAAATCAATCACTACATAGTTCAGTGAGGGAGCATTTTTCTCACATGCACAAGGCTGTGTTCAATCCTCAGCACTGCAAATAAACGAATAAATAAAAGAAGAGCCAAATATCTTTAGAAAGTTATGTTAGTCATACATAGAAGAAGAAAGAAGAAAGCAGGAGAAGGAAACTGGGGGTACACGAGGGTCTCCATAAAAAGAACAATCACAGAATCGAAGTCCTGACGAGCGTAACTTCACAAACAAAAATAACTGGGAATCAGGGAGAGCCTGGGGAGGGGCTATGGGGTAGGAAAGACGGTGGATCCGGACGGACATCATCTCCCTAGGCACGGGGGTGACCGCCCGGGTGGCACGTGTCTACCCCGTGTCCAGCCAGAGCATCGAAATGCCGTGCTCCACTCGGGTGCGATGCACTGAAGTGCCTTCTGCTGTCTCGGGCAACTAAGTAGAAAGAATGAAAAATCTTTAAAAACCTGGAGACAGTGACAGTGGTAGCTGGGAACCCCCCACTGTGTGCAGATTGAATGACACCCACGGGTCGGAGAGAGTTCAGAAGTGGAATTGAAGAGACACTGAACTGAACGAAAG